TTACTTCCAACCTTCTCTACTCTCTCCCCTCCTTCGTCCTACCTACGTGATTCCTGACCCACCTTGGCCTCCTCACTCTCCTAAGATTGATTTAACCTATGAACTTCCCTACTCTTTCCTCTCCCTTCCCATCTCTGTGTAGTCCCCGTGCTCGGTTGTCTTGTTGTTTGTTTTGTGCTTGTGGCCATAGGAACTGCTTTCGTCCTCTCCTCTTCAGCGCTGAAGTCTTTTCACATCGTCGAGCGGCCTGAATCATGGAGCTCCTGGTCTTCGCCCATCTACTGGTAGCGGTTTGCGTCATTTGTGTTACGTACCTCGCCTTCTTGGCTTTCCTTGATGTGCAAACGGTGCTTATGTACTCATCGGTATGTCGCCCTGGGAATTCATCGCTTCCTGCTACTCCGAGGTGGTGCAGAGCTTGATCCCCTGTGCTATTGTGACCTCAACGCGCCCGTCCTCGCTGCTTTGAGACTTTCGGTTGCCGATAGTGTGTCTGGATAGCAGGGAACGATTGCACCATGGATCTTGATAGGAGGCGTTTTTCAAGGATAGTCGGGATGCTGCTCGTTTCCTTTCCTCTGTCCATGATTGTTCTTGGTTGTGTATGCTCTATCGTTCTCTGGCCCCTCATGGATCTATCCGTGGAAAGCCGTACAAGCTCTTGCCCAGCACAACCTACCCTATGCGCTCCTCCTCTCATTCTAGCAGTGATTGTTGTGCTGCTGAGTTTCTGTACATGGGTCGTCTTAGGGTTGGTTGCAGCCCTGCTCCTCTGTGAATCTGTCCCTACGATTCTGTGCATTTCTTTTCCCCCGATGTCCTCGCCGGACTGAGTCAGTGATAGGGTATAGTGCTACATATTTTCGCTCGCGAGTGTTGACGGCGCTCCCTTGGGGAGTGTTGTATCCCGGTGTGGCTTTGCAGCGACGTGTACTACCGGCTGTGTTCGAACGTATTGGCTGCTTCCCGACGCAGGTTGTGTTGGCTATCAGTGAGGGGGTTGATGATGGCGAGTGGTTAGCCTTTGGACTGAGCATTGATTGTGCGGAGTAGATTGCGGATCATCAGTGGGCCCATTACGGATTCTACGGCGCTAACCTCTGTTTCTGCTTATGGGTCGTTACCACTAGATTATGAACGGACAATACTTTAATGCCCCTCCTTCTCTGTCCTGGTCTGGCTATGAGATTGGCGGCTACTCATGTCTGTTCCGAATAGGCATCCATCGTTGGACGTATGGAGAGCAAGGACGTCCCCGCTTGATTCGTCTCTACGGACTCTTCAGGGAACTCGTCGCTGTGACTCTGCTAGTTTGCCTGCTTTTCGGGGGTCTTGCCTGTGTTTTGGGTGGGTATCGACTGTGCTAATCCACCAATGAATGTTTTTTTTGCTTGGTACGAATCTTTCTCCGCATTATGGATTACTGGAACCGGAGGCTCATTTGGGTGTATGCTTCGTTGGGTGAGTACTTCTGGCATATTGCGTGTTAATCTAGGTTGGATGCTTGTTGAGCTGGTGGTGTACTACGTGGAGTCCTGTGTGTGTTTGGAGAAAGCTGTGTCGCGGCGACTCGTACTACTGGGGTTCTTTCGTTATATGGTCTGATTTGATTGCTCGTTAGCGCCTACCTCTCTCTTTGGGTGAAGTATCCTTCGATCGGTGAATGCTTTTGACGGACTGCATAGTATGGGTGGATATTTGGTGTGATGCGTACTTAGCTGTTCTTATCCCATGAGGAGATGCCATAGGGTTCAGGTTTCGGCATGTAGAGGCTGGCTGAAGGTGTGCGATTTCTTCAAGGGAGTTGTACTTTCGTAACCGCGGCTCCTCTTCGAGTATACTTTCAACGATTTTTTTCATCGTCGGGTGGTTTTTCTGGTGACCTGCTGCTTCAGCATCACTTTTTGCACGAGACTTTGTTGTTATATGGGGAATTCGTTAGCAGGTGGTGTACGCGCTGTCGTATAAGGTGCCGTGAGTTTCTCGGCGTTGGCTACCTGGTGAGGAAGTGTGGCTCGTAACTAAGGAGTGCAAACCTTTGTTGGCTTCGGGTCGCTGCTCCAGCATTGTGGTTAGGTATTTAGCATGGAAGCTTGGTGCGGATTGGTGGTCTTTGGTTCGTCCCTTGCATGCCTGTGGTCTGAGGATCTGATTCCCCCTCTGTTTTCTCCACCCTTCCCTCGCTAGGACGGGCCTCCCCCTGTCCAGTATGGTGGTAGAGTAATTGGCGGCTACTCGGGGTTGGTCTGACGTCCGGCATACGTGCTCATCCTCTGTTGCTTGCTATAAGTGCTTGTTGTTGTGGCCCGGTGTAGCCGGGTGCTGTGCTTTTCGATCATGCCTGAGTTGGATGTGCGTCAGATTCAATAGTTTGCTTATGGGGCCTTTTGGAGTGGTTAGCACTCCCGGAGCTGTCGGTTCGGTTCTTCGGGTCGTTTCTGGTGAACCCGAGGCTTGCGCACGCTGCTGTTTTGAAGGATTGAAGGGTTATGTGTGACGGTGTTCGGATGGCCTCTCGTGGAACTTTTGGCAATGTCTCTTTTGTATCACATACGAAGCTCTGTTTAAGTGGCTGCTTTGCCACGGATTTGTGCTTTGGGCCAGTGCTTGTATTGGATTCGACAGTCTCTGTGTGCGCAACTTCTTCAGATTGGCACGTACTTTGCATCCTTCAGGGTGTATACGAGCCAGCTAGATGCTTCCTTTTGGTTCATCGTAGTCTGACATTGGTTTGAATAGGGGCCATGAGCCTGTGCTTCTTTTTGACGGGGACTCGCCTCTTCTGTGTGGAGAGCGGTGGGAGAGATGTGTATGCGTATCCATGGGCTGCTGAGCATTCGCCCTCTTGGCGTGTTCGGTTTCGAGTGTGTATCGCCCCGTGGGCTTTGGCCACTGGCTGTGTTTGCGGTGTGTCTCGGCTATGCGGAGAGTAGCATTCAGAATGGGTGCCTTTGTTTTTTTCCATGGTTAACTGACCATTTGGGTATCACATTTTGCCTTTGTGTAATATCTTCGGTCGCAAGCTTTTTGGATTTTCCTCCGGTCTCGGTAATGACGAACAATGTGTCTTAGCGTAGTGGTCTGTCGTGTGGCTGGTGCTGCGTTTCTTACTCCACGCTGTTGATCTCTGTGGTGCTCACTTGACAAAATGCTAATGGTACTAGTGTGTTGCATGGAGGAGATACGTTGGATGTGTTGCAACTCTGCCGGTGAAGTATATCATAGCTCCTGGCAATCACCGAATCCCCTTCCTCTCTTAGCGCCCGTTGGTGACTTCTGCATGCCTTGCGCAAATCATCAGAGGACCATAGATCAAAATGCATCCACTCCCTCAGTGCAAACAACATATGTCTAATCGCCCTTCCTATCCTTGCACCTGCAAGCCTGGTCGGATCTTTCGAGGCTGCCGAAATTGGTCTCCATCGACTCACATCCTTGTCTTTCGAGAGAGTGTACGCTCTACCTACCTGCCCACACGTGTACCACAAACCCCTATCTTGTCCAGATTCTTGCTTAGAAATTCCCTCTGCATTCGTCTCAGAATCGTTCTCTCATCCTCCTCTACTGGGACATAACTAGGATTCCAATTGAATGTCATCCTGCATGCATGTTGATACAAGATCGGACATATCAGCATTGTGGCACCCGGGTTCCGATCCAAAGGGACCGTAACCAAGTCTCGAAAATCGCTAATATGTGATCTTACCTGTCCCTCAGTCATTGCCTGAGAATCTCCGTCATTTACTCTTGACAGACACCTCCTCATCTCCTCATCACTTATCTGCACTCTCTTACCGCATGCCCAAACCTTCGTGGATCTTGTCACGTAAGTTCGTAGTTCCTCCTACGTAACCACCCGGCCCTTCGTCACATTGCGGGAGTTCTTCACGAACCCCGGAATTTTCTCCACCTCATCAAGGCGGATCTTCACGTGGCCCTGACTCTTCATCATCCCTTTCCCTAAACACGTACACACAACTTCTTCCATAGTTGAGCACTTCCTATGATTGTGCAACACTTGAGCAACTGTCCTTCTCTTCGCATACACTACTCTAGTTCTCTCCGAGCCGTAGCTATCAATATATGGATCATCGACTACCTGTTCGACTACCGTGGTAACCAAGTTCCTTACTTCCCCTCCTTTTATGTTCGTAGAGAATGACACCTTCACGAAAACCCTCTTACACAGATCATAACCGAACCGAGCCTTCACTACTATGGACAGATTGGTCTTCAGTCTTTGTCTCGTTGTTTTTGCAACAAATGTCGTCGCGGTTCGATATAACGCTACCATTTCCCTTGACGTTTTTCTATACATCCCCCTGATTCTCCACGGCTGCCTCAACATATCCTTCAAACAATTCTTCCTATTTTGTACGCTCGATAGGACGACATTGATCTTCACAACCTCAAAAACGCCTCCTTTCTCCAGATCTTCTTTCCAATCCCTCAGATCTCTTTGCTCCCCTCCTTTCTTCAGGACACTCCTCCCTATCTTGTTCTTGATTGCTGCCCATCTCTCAATCCATATCGTACCTCCGCTAGACTTCACCTCATGCCTACCTCCTGTTACCCTCAGGCTTTTCATCAACTTGATCACATGCGCTTCCTCGTTAAGAGTGACCACACTTCACTGCTTCCCGTATGATGATCTCTTCCCTCTCTCGCGTTTTCCCTTCCTCTTTCTATTCTTTCCGTTCTTTCTATTTGAATCCGCTCTCGCCCATGTATTTAGCGATGGCGAGAATCTCGATATCAGCGCCCTTTCAACCGCCAGAGAATCAGCAACTCCGACTACGATCGGTAGACACATACACTTATCCCATCCGACGTTTGCCAGCCATGCGTGCAGCTTCGGAGCATTCCCAAACTTGCCAGTTGACGCACATCTCATGTGCTCCCCCCATCTAGTGATTACTCTTCGCAAAGTGCATCCTATATAATACCTTCTACACCATGGGCTGACAATGACATAGACGCCTGCATCGTTCATCGTGATTCGCTCCTTGGCTGCTTCATTCATCACCCCTACCCACTTCTTAGCCCACGGGCAATCTCCTCTCAACACACATAGCATGAATCGTCTTCTCAGATCATCTTCGATCTCCACCTCCCACCTCTGATGTTCGTTCTTGAATCTTAGCGCCCTGTTACTCATAGCCACACGAAGGTCCTCCATCCTTCTATCCTCATGCCTTACCTGTTTCTAATAGGTGAAATCAAATCTTCATCGTATGCCATCTTCGTATGGCTCCGGATCAGTTCACGAATAACGCTGTCCCTCTTCGTCCATTCGACCCCTTCGTCTTTACACAGTGTCCGTAACTTCGGCACCTTCTTCTCGGACAGTTGCCGATGCATCTCCAACGCATATTCCAGCATCTCTCCGCTTGTTGCATCTGCCAACAGCCTTCGCCTCACCGGGGGTGGGGTGTTCTTCTCATCAGATATGTCATGTACTACGGGTTGTCTCTTCTTAGCTCCAGATCCGCGTGCTTCGGCGACCCTCCGCTTACCCTTCCTTTTCTCGATCGCCTCAATCAGCCGATCTGCCTCGTTCCTCACCTCTTCGCTATCGTCCTCCGATTCGTCGATATAGCTCCGTATCTCTCTCAACATATGTGCCTTCGAATTCGGTGATTTCCTCCTTAGCACCTGTGAAGATGAAGCGCCCCCGACTTTGCTTTGCTGAGCCATCATCCGGACGATCTTGGCCTCCAACTTGGCTTCCCGAGCTTCAGCTTCTCGGAGTCTATCAGCCTCTTTCCTGTCCTCTTCTTCTTTCCGTTTTCGCTCCTCGGCTTCCCTCTCCCTCATTTCTTCCTCTATCTTATGTTTCTTAATCTTCTTTCTGAAGTACTCACGCATCTCATTATCCTCCTCATCGTTTTGCCCACGTGTCTGCTGGTGCTGGATCGGTCTCCCGTTCCCCGCGGACCAACAGTTTCGCGCGTAATGTCCAATTTTTCCCCATATGTGACATGTGACTGCCCCTTGGAAGTTCGGATTAACCGGATACCCGCCATTACATTGTATCGCAGGCTATCCTTGATACGCCATCTTTTTTTTTTTTTTTTTTTCTCCCTACCTTCTCCTTGCGTACTTACGCCTCCTCCTCCTACGCCTATCCTTAATAATACACCCAAGTGAGTACACCCGTCCCAAAAATGCCGCAAGATACCCGTACACGTCTTCGATATCCTGCTCATTCCTAATATGTAACGCAACTACAATAGCTGGGACAAGATCATTATGTATTAGTTTTTCTAACTCTAGCCATAGCCTGTCAATCTCTTCTTCTCTGAATTCACTATCCCTCATGCCTACCTAACTTTCTTGAAGGAAACAATCAACCTGAGATCAAAACACCACTCATGCACAAACTTGTGCTCACCACATACTACATTGACTGAGTACCCTCCAATTCCCGCAATCAAAGCAATGCCCGAACCCCACAGTAATCTAGACCACACACTCCCCCACCTCATGACGCATGCGTCGTTCTATAGATTATAAAACTTCTCCACACTTCACTAAGATGAGAAAAACGTGATCTCTTCCCTGTTGGTGACGAAGCACGAGCTGTTACGGAGATATCTGGGGCGCCTGTAATGTCTTCCACCATGCGATGTCGAAACGTAGCCACCGACGCTGATACATGGATCCGCGGTTACCACGGTGTTAGAGATTAAGAAGGGAATACTGGAGACTCTCCTATGGACACATGTCACAAGGATACGCATCGATAGGTTAGTAGACACCAGGAACTCAATGGCGACAAGATATTGTTCCAAGAACTCAAAAACAACACACTCTTATTGTCACCATCATACGCGTTTGCCTCGACGCGTTTCGCTGCCTGCGTAACGGGCAGACTCATCAGGAGGCTCCCTCACGAACCAGCACACTCTACAGTTCACGCACTCGAGGGTAGATGATAGCCTAAGCTCTGCGGTCTTCTTTTATAGCTATCACCTTCGTCTTTCTCTCGGATCTCCGTTTCCTTCAGGCTAAGTCCTACGCCTACTTTTTTCTACGTAATGTCTTCTAAGTATTCGTCCCTTTCTCCATAGTCTGCATATTGTACATTGCCTCTCCTGGGACTTCCCTACTCTACCCGGGAGCTTCTACTTTCCCCACGCGTTTCTATCCCGATCGTCATTTCCGTTTTTTCCTTAAATACGGCTTCATTCGTCGCTCCATCCTCACTCCGACTCTAAGTACATCCAAACCGCTCTGCACATGCCATTTGTCTCGCCACTACTGTATTCATTCCCTGTACTGTATCTGCCCACTATCATGGTCACATTCCAGCACGTCTCTCTTCCTTCCATCCCAAATGCTAAATATTCTCTCTCCTATGATTAGTCCTTCATGTGTTCTCCCACTTTCCGTAATACCCGCCGTATATCCTACATCTAAATCTCATAGATCTGGGTGAATGACAAAAGAGTTCATACGAAAAGGAGAGAAAAAAACATGACATAGGTGACAGAAGCGATATGGGTGACAGAAGCGATATAGGTGACGGGGACCCCATCCTATTCTTAATACTTGTTCCCAAACACTGTTCATGTCGTGGCAGAGTCGACTTCCAAACACAAGTATGTCGATTCAGATATCTGATTCAAAAAAAAATTTCCCGCCGATTACTATATCCTGCTTCGCGGACTATTACAAATTCAAAAACGTTCTATTGAGAGGATTATCTTGGTTATAAAACCATGCTCCGATCCATGGTTGTTTTTTTCGATGCACCCCGCAGACAACAAAAAATAAAAATAAAATACCATACACTAAGAAGGTACCTATCCCCAAAATTTGTTTATGTCGTGGCGGATTCACCCCAAGTGCCGTACGTCATTCAGATCAATGAGTGAGAATAGTTTTTTCCGTCTTACTACCATTACTTCGCGGCTATCTTTTCGTTCAAAAACGCTCTATCGCCGATGTACCCTGCAAAATGAAAAAAAAAAAAAAAAAAAGATAAAATAAAATAAAATACAACCAAAGCGACCGAATTGAGTACAATAAAATACACCACCCCTTCCTGAAAGTTGCGTTCTCATTCTCTGCCATTACCTCATTACTAAGTACTTCCCCAGTCCGGGGTATATCCTGGAGAGATTCTCCCCCCAGGGACCTCCGGAAAGTGTGGCAAACTTTGTCAGCGCACCGAGAGAGAGAGAGAGAGAGAGAGAGAGAGAGAGAGAGAGAGAGAGAGAGAGAGAGAGAGGCTGGACACATTGAAGTCAGTGAAACCCGAACGCAACTTCCGAAAATGGTAGAACATGAAAGCACATAGCGATAACTTGCTTGGCACTGACCCGACCGGTTTCGCGTGGCCGTCAAACCGCGCTCATCAAGGGTCTAGGAGTTGTGAGTGGTGTGGCCAGATGCACCAGGCAAACTCACTTGGCTAGAACATGGCCAGATGCACCCGCCACATTTTTGTCCCTTTCACAGTTCTTGAGCGGTGTGGCGGTGCCCTGAGAGTGCTCTGGTTCACGACAACAAAGTTTCCAATTACATTGTTGTGTTATGACCCTGGCCAATTGCGAGATACACATCCACATAAAAGTACAATGCCATCCAATTGCAGAGAGAAATGAATGAACTTGAGAGGAGGGAGAGGAGTAGAAAGAAGAAGAAGAAGTAAGAAAGAAGAAGTAAGAAAGAAGAAGTAAGAAAGAAGAAGAAGAAGATGTACATCAACAAAGATAATGGCAAGGCTCTTCTTCTTCTCCTAACAATCTCCTCCTCCTTATCTCCCCCTTCTCTTATTCACACAAGAAATAATAATACAATGTGGAATGACTGGTCCAGAATCATGTCCAAGTCCCTTTTCTACTGCAGGTATCACTCATGGTCCACCATAGCCATGGCCTCCTCTCCCACACTTCACTCTCACAGACCGAGGCTATGGCGGACTACTAGGCCTTGCTCCGATGCCCAAAGGACAACTTAAAGCAGCTATGGCTGCTCGGACTCAGGCCGCCATGCCCAACCCTGCCCTGAAGCTTCTTGGTGTGGCTCTCCCTGGCTGGGGACTTCTTGCTGCAGCGCCCACCAAGGTGATGAAGATGGCTGCCACCATAGCCAAGTAAGTACCCCTGGCGCTCCTCCCCCTTCCTCCTTCCTTCCTCCTTCTTCCTCCCTCTAGTCCTTCTTCTTCCTCCCCAGCAGTGCAGCTCCAACCCAGCGCTGCTCCCTCCAGTGCTCCACTAGTGTGTCGCCAAACTTGCACACCGAAAAAGAGGCCGGGTCTTCCACCCAGGCCGGAAGATATAGCGGCCTGCTTTGCCCTTTGGGCGGTGACTTCTAGGCCGCTGGCCTTCCCAAGCAACCGGTACCTCCTCCTCCTTTTGGAGGGAACATCATTGCAGACTCTGATATTGCCCCTACATACCCTAGACTCAGACTGGTACCAGCTAGACCTACCCTACACTAGCGGCCTCTAAAAATGCCACTTTTGWCTTCTTCTGCTCGGCCTCCGGTCCCTGCATATTTACCCCCCTACCGGGTGTGGTACCGGCCTACCCGCTACTTGAGTGTTTTTTCCCTGCTACAACCCTTCAAAGCCACGGCCACAGGTAAGTACCGACCCTGAGGGCCCCACGAACGAACAAGTGCCCTGGCAGGCTACACACACACATACTCATACCAATCAGCACTCAGACAGGCACAGTCACACACGCAAGCCAACCAGCACTCAGAAAGACATGCAGTCCAGCAAGCATGCACACACACAGACTCAGCAGGCGGGGAACTCGGTAGGGCATTCAATCTATTAGCAAAACTCAGAAATCAGTTGTGTGTCTCAGTCCGTGTTTGGACGGGTTATCACACTACCCCCCCCTCAAGAGCGAGGTCCCTTCGAGCGAGTAACTCATTCTGAATCCTCAGCAAACGCATCGTAGGCGAGCAAGGCAAAGAGATTCCTGGAATACTCTAGTGCAGAGAGCCTTGTTGAGATTTTCGGTGTGGCGTTAGCGGCGATCTGTCGCTCGTAAGCTTTAACAACGCGCGGTGCGCTGCGTAGCAGTTCCTGTTTGGAGATCCAGTAGAGATCATCTAACGGGTGATACATGAAATGAACCTGGTACTGTCTGTTTCTCCCTTTACCTATATGTTGTTTAATTATATCTATCTCATGCCTGCCCTTGATTGCGCGAGGGATCATATCTTCGCGGTAATCGAATGTCTCGGCATCACGATGGAGGTACAACTTAGATGCATGGAACACAGGATATGTGCGCAGGTGAGCTGGCACGTCTACAACGTACGAAGGGCCAAAATGATCTTCCCCAATTACATCCAAAACTTCCCAAGGCCCATAGTAGAGTGGGAGGAGTTTGCGTAAGACTCCCTCCTCCTCCGAGAATTCAGACATCTTTACCCATACATAGCTTCCTACCTGAATCTTCGATGGTCGGCGTTTTTTGTTTGCATGGTGGATCATGGCATGTTGTCGCTTGGTAATAGCTGCAACAACAACTTTGAGCAAGCGATCATACTTAGCCCTGAAGCTGGGCCTGCCAGGTGTTAAGCCAAACTGACTGCTCAGGGAATAAGCAGGAGAGCGGATTACGGATCTGCCATCCGTAGTGCAACCTGTTGGTTGTCATGGCGGTGGCAGAATGGACAGAGTTGTTATACAAACCCTGACATAATACAATTCTTCATCCCATGTTTCCTGATCCGGAATGATCAACGCACGGAGAAGTTGGAATACAGTTTGGTTGATCTCCTCAGCGCCAAACCGCTGGCTTTGGGATGTCGGCCAGATGTCATGCACAGTTTGATTCCTAGGTGAGACGTGAAATCCTTCCATTCAGTGCTAATGAAACGCGGATCCCGATCGCTCACAAAAGTCTTCGGGGTTCCGAATTGCAGCAGGTATTTCTTTTGGAATT